GTTTTGGGTTTGTCTTTATTTAATACAGTATTAATGGCGGAGTAGCTATGATGTGAGTGTGTTTAAGTAAAAGACAAACTCAAGTCAGTCAGTTTTGGAAGCTCATTTTTCTCTCACACAGAAGACAATGTTTAACTAAAATAGCACTGTAACGATGCCACATAATAACCAAAGTCAACAAAAAGTTAAAACTTCTGTTCTTACCCTGTTTCCCTCTTCACAGCGCGTTACCATGACAATGATAGAGGACTGCTGCTCCCAGACCATCCTCCAGAAGTCACTCACAGTTTCCTCCTTTGGTCCTAAAACACACACACACAGAATATATGTACTGTACACACAAGCATGCACACTTAGTACCAACTGGAAACATAACAGAAGTGCACTGACGGAGTGAGTGAAGAATATGAGACCTTTACTTTACCTTGAGCTGCAATGTACTTCTTGGATTCCTTGTATCCCTGCAGCAGGAAAACAAATCATGTTCATTAAGGTATGTATTGTCTTAAGAAGGGAAATTAACTTTGTGTCTATTTAGCCCCAAAATGTAGCCCTTTTAACATTTTTTATTATTTGTATGTAGTTTGATAATGTTTAGTAATTCTTGTGAGTTTTGAGTGTGTTTTTCATACATCAATGAAGCTGGCATTGATGTAGTCACATCCTGCTTCTCCATTTCCTGTGGTCAGCTGCACGCGGTTATAATCATCTGGTTCACAGAGGACAGAAAGAATAAATAAATAAACATCACAACAACCCTAAAACACCAGTAATGAACAAGTGTGTGTAAACTTCCTATAAAGTCAGTTAAGAATTTGTTTATGGATATATAACCTGAAATTTAAGAGCAAAATATCTATTCTGTGAGTCCAGTATTTCAATAAAACTGTCCTGTTTACTGATTTGCAACATTTCTCACAATGATTTAATACATATACAGTATTGCAAAATCCATGCCTAGTTACAAGGTACAAAATGATGATGTGATTTACTTCAAAAAGAGACATCACACATCTAGTAAGTTCTTTTATCTCTTATATCTAAAAAGCATTATAGGTTGTTGGACTGCCCCCAACTCACATGGCAGGATGTCCACGTAGCGGTTCTTGGGGACATTGCAGGGCTTTTTGGCCTCTTTCACGCTGTACCTCGAGAAAATTCTGGGGATGCTCTGAAAGCAGAAACAAAATAAATTTAATTTAATTGCTATTGCCAAAGACCAATAAACAGCAATTCTAGAGTATGCTCATCCAACTTCCTTGTCCAGCCTTGGACGTATTAAATTTACCTGAAACTCAGCCAGGAAAAGTCTTCCCTCATCAGCAAGCTTCCTCTTGTAGGCTTCCAGCAGGACCTCTGCTGCAATTGGCTCAACAGGCATCAGGTTCTCCTCATCATCTACAACAGCAAACCGGCCAGATGAGAAACAGAAACATCACTGTAATATTATATATATAATAGGCATTACTCCAAATTACAGTACAGTCGATTATTTGAAAATGATAGCTGCTACATATGAGTGTCACTTATTACATCTTATCAAGACTGCAATAATCATCTTGTTCAGACGAAATCCATACAGAAAACTGAAAGTCTACTCACTTGTTGTCGAAATGAGCATTATGTTTTCGCTCAAGTCACTGCAAGAAAATGGTCCCACACAAAGAGTTTAACAACAGTAATGATCTTTCTGTCTAAAATGCAATTCAAATGCAATAACAATGCAAAGCAAATTAAAACACATTGCCTCATCAATAGTACAAACTCTTCAGGTGCATTTGTGTTAAACAAACAAATAAAATCAAAGCAGAAGCAATGAGACAACTGATGCAGCAGATCAGATGCAAAGTGATCCTTACTGGGACTTTCTGCACTTCCGAATGTAAATCTTGTAGAAAAAGCAGAGCCACAGACGTGAGGATGATGAGGAAGACCAGAGACCCAATCAGAGCTTTGTCATTATCTGTAAAATGATGGGAGAAAAATATCAATTTGGTAGCATTTATGTTGAAAATTGAATGTATAGAAAATGTTCTGTATGTCAATCTGAACAATGTGAGACAATTTGTGGTATTAATTAAAACTGCACATACATGAAGTGTCAATGACCAACATCACTGGTTTGCTCTCCCATCTTCCATTGAAAACAGTCACCTGGAAAGACAGAAAATCTGTT